ATGCAGCCTCAGCAATATCCAAAAATAACGGCAAGCAATTGGACACCAAACGGTTGAAGACAAACGGGGTTTACACTATTGTATTATTGAACGCTGCGTTTCATTTATCCAAAAACGAACTTGTTTCAAAGCATTGTCCATTACGCTAACACAATTATGCATTGGCAATATAACCTCTAAATATAAAATAATCACTAGCATATATATGAACTACAATTAGCCATGATTAGCTCTAAGTTTATCTATTCTCTGCTTTTTGCAAATGTATCAAAGATAAAATGCATCTACGCTAACGGTATTTGATATAATTACGGTTGCTGAAATTATTATAATGAATTGTTATGTTTTGAACTTACTTTAAGTCAACAATAAATATTTGAATCACAGCTGCTGTATAACGGGAGTAAAATCCCAATAACTGAAAAAGAAACAAGAGGACCATGATGGCCCTAGATCGCTCCCCTGACGTATCAACCGCATCAAAGCAATGTCTTAAACAAGCATCCTGGCCAAGTTTGATGACAATTGAGTCAAAGATGTGATCTCTGGTGTGTTAAAAATGTTTTCCATATTTTGGCAGTATGACGTAGTTTTTGACCGGAGACGACCCCTATTTAAACTTGACCTAGAAATCATCAAAACAACCTTCCTGACAAATTTCCTGAATGTTTGGATCAAAACTGCAGCCACTAGAGTGTTCACAATATTTTTCTATTTTAGCTCCCGTGACCTAGTTTTTGACCGAAAATAACCCTTCTTCGAACTTGACCTAGAAACTATCAAAACAACCTTCCTGACTGATTTCCAGAATATTTGGATCAAAACTGCAGCCACTAGAGTGTTAACAACCTTTTCCCATTGTTAGCTCCTGTGACCTAGTTTTTGACCGGAGATTACCCATCTTCGATGATGATCTGTGTCATTAAGATAAACATTCTGACAAAGTTTGATGATGATCCAAATAAAACTGTGACTGCTAGATTGTTAACAACCCAATTGTTGACGACGAACGACGCACGACGACGGACGCCGGACATAGCCCCATCACTATACCTCACCTTGACCACTTCGTGGTCAGAGGTGAGTAAAAAAGGGTATTTTGATGTTTTGAATTAATTTAATAACAAAACTTTATTACGCTCTCATTTATTAAAAAAGATGTACATACATTATAATCTTAAAAGTAGTTAAGAGCCATGCTAAAAGAGGGGACACTGTTAATGCAATCTAGAACTCGAGTCTTTCTTACAGAAATATTTAAACAATTTTTATAAAAATAATGTACATTTTAGTTTAATATGTAAAAAGATATTTACAATACTAATTTCTTATGAAGAAAAACAACATATTTACACTTTTTTCCACTTTCCCTCTAGCAATATCGAAGGAATTTGCTGACTTCAAGTTATTTCCAGCCAATGAGTTTGTGTGAATTGTAATACTAAAATTAAATGTCATTACACCAGCAACTGAAAAAGGACAAAAAAATGCCTTCAAAACGTGTTTGAAATGCTACATAGCTAGAAACAGGCGCCTATATTTGTATCAGTTTAATATTATACATATGGTAGGAGAGGGCCTTAAAATCTGAAAATAAAAGCATATCAAAAATTTAATAACTAAAAACCACAATTATTTTTCAGTAATCTCAAAAATTCAAACATATAATAACGGTGCTCAATGAAATAAAGTGTACAAATATTGACATCTTAAAAATCAACATTGCAATTTCTTTAACATGAATTAATAATGTATCCCTATGGATAAGTCATGAGTTTAGGGATACTGTTACTTTTTCCTAAGTTTGAAGAGTTGCTTTTTATGATAAATAAATCATGCATAATATTTGAAATGAAACTTTCAAATTATCTGAGTGTTTATACCTTATGAAACCTATTCTATTTTATTTTTGTATTTAGTTTTAAGCAGTTTCTCCCTGTTCTATTGTAAGACTCACGTGACTACACGTTTTATGTTAGTGTTATAAAATCTATTAATAGAAACAAATTGGTGATAAGACATACAGGTTGCTGTATTGGCAGCCGTTAAATGTTGACCCGTACTTCATTACACTATTGTTATTCTTTCCTACTTTGCAATTACCACTATCGTCTATGAACAGGTCCTATCAAACCATGTCTACAACAGTGTCAATTTTACTAACCAGAATACATTTTATTACAGGATAACTATGATAATAGAAACAAACGACCTTTAACGTTTAAAAAGATCAAAATTAATTGTAAATATATATGCTATATGATATTTCTTTTACCTTTAGGAATATCCGTTGAAGAACTGCTATCTGAAATAATATTGAAGAATAATGTAAACAATTGTTTGACTCCAAATCGTGCATGATCATTTTCGAGTGACATATTGACATAAAAATCTTAAACTATATAGAATTGTGCTTTTTAATCTAATTCAGTTATTAAATCCAGTTCTGTCTATACAAAATTACTTTAGTTCATCATACAAATGATCTTTGTTCATTTTGTTTGCTCAGTATTTATTTAATGTAAAATGATATCTTTCCAGTAGGCTTTACCTCTAACGCATTGTCCGTCCGTATTTTCCTTGAAACCTCTGATACAATCGCATTGGTACCACCCGTGAGTATTAACACACGTTGTATTGTTTTTATTACTACACAATATGGTATCTTCTTCACATTCATCAACATCTTCCGCACAGGTGTCTCCTTTCCAGTTAGATTTGCATCTACACTTTCCAGTCACTGTGTCACACATCTGCTTAACATTTTCAGCATTTGTTGCAACACAATCACATCGTTTCGTACAATTTTCACCAAAAGTATTGTTGAAACATTCTGTGAAAAATTATATCAAAATAATTTACCACAGTGCTTTTTCATCTTCTTTGCAAAACAAGTATCTAATACGTGGTATACGTCTTTCAAAGAAAGGGTGATTTTATTGTCTATTATCGTTTAGTTAAGATGTTATGAAAAAGAAATTAACTAGAATTTTTATAAAAAAACTATACATAAAAGAAATGTAAAGTACATAAAACATAGTTTATTCTGCATATAATACTTACATATTTTTATCTTGATATGCTTATACGAAATTACTTATAATTTATTTCTTTTTCAGATATTAAAAAGAACATCCGTTCCTATACTGCATTACTTTGTAGTACACTGCAATGCTTTATCTTAGTGTTGTATTTTATCTAATACATACCTGCAACGCAATGTCCGTCCGCATTTTCTTTAAAACCATTGATACAATCGCATTGATACCAGCCGTTGGTATTTACACATGTTGTATTGTTCTTATCATTGCACAATGTCATGTCTTCTTCACATTCATTCACATCTTCCGCACAGGTGTCTCCTTTCCAGTTAGGTTTACATCTACACTTTCCAGTCACCGTGTCACATGTCTGTTCGGTATTTTCAGCATTTATTGCTAGGCAGTTACATTGTTCTGTACAATTTTCACCAAATGTGTTGCTGGGACATTCTATTAAAAGTAATTAATAACAAAAATAAATATAAAAGAAACGATCTTATTGTTACTTTTCACTACAGGCCATTCTAAATATTCTTTGTGAATGTAACACAAATCGTGTTGTACATGTACGTCTCTATGAGAAAAGGCGACTTTTTGTCGAGTCGAATATGTTTGACATAAAACGTTTTTAAAACGAAAATTACTAGACATACTAGTGGGATCTAGAAACATATATATAATCTATATAAGTTAATTGGTTAATTAAAAAATAAGAAAAGACACTGAAATGCTATTTTCTATTGGTATTGTCATTTGCATTAAAGTGAATGTCACCTTACACATCTTGAAAAAAGAAACCTTTATCAATTTTCATTTCTTTTATTGATCTCTAGCGTTTGTACGTTACATTTACCTGCAACGCATTGTCAGTGCGCATTTTCTTTGAAAGCCTTTATACCATCGCATTGATACCAGCCTTAAAAAGGAACATCCGTACTTATACTGCATTGCTGTGTAATACACTGCATTGATTTTTAGTACTCTAGTTTTTTTAAATTTAATATTTACCTGCAACACATTGTCCGTCCGCATTTTCCTTGAAACCTTTGATACAATCGCATTGGTACCAGCCGTGCGTATTTACACATGTTGTGTTGTTCCTATCACTGCACAATGTTTGGTCTTCTTCACATTCATCCACATCTTCCGCACAGGTTTCTCCTTTCCAGTTCGATTTACATATACACTTTCCCGTTACTGTGTCACATGTCTGTTCTTCATTTTCAGCATTTATTTGTAGGCAGTTACATTGTTCTGTACAATTTTCACCAAAAGTATTCCTGGGGCATTCTGTTAAAGGTAATTAATAACAAACTGAATATTAAACAATGATGTCCTTATTGTTAATTTACACGACAGGACATTTTTAATATTCTTTCTGAGTGTTACACAAATCTTGTATGTGAAGTTATGCCTCTATGAGAAAACATGGTTTTCTTGTCCAGTCGAACATCTTTTTCATAAACAGTTTATAAAATCGAAAATTACTAGACATACGTAAAACAGTGGGACATAGAAATATAATCTATGTTAGTTATGCTTAAGGGAAAAATTTAATAAAAGACTCACACATGTTTTTATCTTAAGGTTTTAAAATTTGCATATAAAGTGAATTTGACCTTCAATCTCTTTAAAAAAAACATTTGTCAATTTTAATTATTTTCGCTTTTCGTAACGTTGCATTTACCTGCAACGCATTGTCCGTCCGCATTTTCTTTGAAACCTTTGATACAATCGCACTGGTACCAGCCGTGCGTATTTACACATGTTGTGTTGTTCTTATCACTGCACAATGTTTGGTCTTCGTCACATTCATTCACATCTTCCGCACAGGTTTCTCCTTTCCAGTTAGGTTTACATCTACACTTTCCAGTCACTGTGTCACATGTCTGTTCTTCATTTTCAGCATTTATTGCTAGGCAGTTACATTGTTCTGTACAATTTTCACCAAATGTGTTGCTGGGACATTCTATTAAAAGTAATTTATAACAAAAATTAATATAAAAGAAACGATCTTATTGTTACTTTTCACTATAGGCCATTCTAAATATTCTTTGTGAATGTAACACAAATCGTATGTTTGAGGTACATGTACGTCTCTATTGGAAAAGGCGACTTTCTTGTCGAGTCGAATATGTTTGACATAAAACGTTTTTAAAACGAAAATTACTGGACATACTAGTGGGATCTAGCAACATACTCGTATATAATCTATATAAGTGAATAAGAAAATAAGAAAAGACATAGACATGCTATTTTCTATTGGTATTGTCATTGCATTAAAGTGAATGTCACCTTACACATCTTTAAAAAAGAAACCTTTTTCAATTTCATTTATTTCATTGATTTTGGTGTTTTGACGTTAAATTTACCTGTAATGCATTTTCCGTGCTTATTTTCTTTTAACCCTTTATACCATCGCATTGGTACCAGCCTTAAAAAGGAACATCCGTACCTATACTGCATTGCTGTGTAATACACTGCATTAATTTCTAGTACTCTAGTTTTTTTATTTAATATTTACCTGCAACGCATTGTCCGTCCGCATTAACATTGAAACCTTTGATACAATCGCATTGGTACCAGCCTTGCGTATTTACACATGTTGTATTGTTCTTATCACTACACAATGTTGGGTCTTCTTCACATTCATTCACATCTTCAACACAGGTGTCTCCTTTCCAATTAGATTTACATATACACTTTCCAGTTACCGTGTCACATGTCTGTTCTTCATTTTCAGCATTTATTGATAAGCAGTTACATTGTTCTGTACAATTTTCACCATAAGTATTCCTGGGGCATTCTGTTAAAGGAAAAAAATAACAAAAATAAATATTAAACGAACGATCTTATTGTTACTTTTCACTACAGGACATTTTAATATTTTTTTGAATCTTACACAAATCTTGTATGTGAAGTTACATGTACGTCTCTATGAGAAAAGACAATTTTCTTGTCCAGTCGAACACCTTTTACATAATTGTTTTATAAAATCAGAAATTACTAGACATACGTCAAAGCAATAGGATATAGACATATAATCTACATTTGTTATGGTTAATGAAAAAATCAGAAAACACACACACACATGTTTTTATCGTTTGGTTTTGTCATTTGCATATAAAGTGAATTTCACCTTTAATTAAAAAAAAACTGTATCAATTTTCATTTCTTTCATTGATTTCTAGAGGGGTTTTACGTAACATTTACCTGCAACGCAATGTCCGTCCGCATTTTCTTGGAAACCTTTGATACAAATGCATTGGTACCAGCCCAGAGTATTTACGCACATAGTATTGTTTTTATCATTGCACAATGTTGTATCCTCACATTCATCAACATCTTCCGCACAAGTTTCTCCTTTCCAGTTAGATTTACATCTACAGTTTCCAGTCACCGTGTCACACATCTGTTGAACATGTTCAGTATTTGTTGCTACACAATCACATTGTTCCGTACAATTATCACCAAACGTATTGCCAGAACATTCTGTGAGAAAAATATTTAAAATATCATACTACGAAGTTAATCTATATGCATTTTGAAAAAAAATTGATAGTCGTTATGAATAATAGTTAAAAAGTAATGATTACTTTTGAAATGTTTTAAGGGGTGTGGACTAATTGCAAATAATACTACCATGGTATATCAATGAAACGTAGGTCAATGTAATAAGTCTATTAAAAAACTATGTCTTATACGAGCTCTTCGTTTCGACATATTTATGTTATATATTTGTTGAACTATAAGGTATCTCATCAAATTTCAACAAAACTAGATCTTACCTTTACAAACATTATTAACCATAAAATATCCATTGAAGCAACCACAATGAAAGCTTCCAATTGAATTGATACAGGACTGTTCGCATGCGTTAAACGCATCCTCTTTACATTCATTGATATCTAGAAGATTTACATGGACATTTTATATCAAACAAGTTCAATTCATTTTGTGCTAAGAACATATAAAGGCTACCTTTAGAATGGATATTACGGATATTTCTATATATCTTCTACATAAATATATGGGTTGACCAAGACGGGATATATTTTATGAACTTCATGTCTGAAAGTATAGGAATGAAAATAAGCTAAAAAAGCACGTATTTTATCAAGATGACTAGAAAAATAGACATAACTGTTCAAAGCCGAACTGCTTGGAAATAGAAAATTATATATCATTTTATTATATTTTTGTAACGCCACTTATCTTTTTTATTACATAGACTGCGAATACTGTCATTCGAATAGTTGTTTGGTATTTTATTTCGATGTTTTTTGTAATGAACCTACGATAAGCTATGATTTGAAATGTTTGGATGCCTTACCACTGCAGAGATTCTCAAAACCACGAAATCCTGTTGTACAAATGCATTCATAGGACCCATTTCTATTTTCACAGATAGAATGTGATACATCAATACATGGATCAGGATCACTTTTACATTCGTTTATGTCATCCAAACATGTTTCCCCTGCCCATCCCTACATTATACAAAAAGTCACAATGAAAAAAAAAACTCTTATCATCTGTAGGTGTCAAAATGATAAATTATAGTGTTTTGATACATTATTCAAGACTTTATCCAAGAAATATAAAGTAGTTGGTATTTGAATTCTGAAAATAATTTGCAATACAAATGTCAATGATTCTACCATCACGATACCACATCATTTTATGTATTTCTGTGGCATTTTTTAAAAAAAGAGATGTGTAACACAAAAAAGTACATTTGTATTATTTCCGATGTAAACAAATACTTAAAACAACTTTTAAGTACATTAATTTTGTAATTTAAAAATGATATATACAGTTTTTGAAAACATTTGTATTTAGGTGAACTTTTACCTCTTTGCATATACATGCGCCACTTGTGTGATTGCAGGAGTCTGTGTTTTCAATGTGGCAATTGCAAATACTGTTACAGTTTTCTCCATAGTTTCGGTTATCACACACTGAAATATATTGTTATTCCATAAATCAATATCACATAAACATCACATAATTTTTTATAATGTAGTTGTAATTTCCATAATTTGGTAAGAAAAATATAAAGCAATACCTTTGCACTCCCCGGAGGCTACTTGAAGATATCCTATGTTGCATTTACAATTAAAGCTGCCAGGTGTGTTATAACACTCAGAATTGAAAGGACAAACATCATCATTATTCATACATTCATCGGCATCATCATCGCATTCATCACCAGTCCAACCATTTTTACAGTAACACTGACCAGTCTTGGGGTCACAGGAGTCCGTATTTTCTTCTACGCAAGTGCAGATGTCTTCACAATTTGTGCCATACTTGAATAAGTCACAAACTGAAAATACGATGACTCGATGAGTTAAAAATATGAATTGTATATCATTTATCCGATGGAATATCAGACTTTCTTGCTGTTAAAAATATGACTTTATATCTCTTAAACCTTCAAGGTACTCCAATGAGATCCAAAAGCGTAAAACATAAACATTTTAATGTCTTACGTTGATCAACTGGAGCACTGAAAACAGAGAAATATGCAAAAGATAAGAAAATCATATTTTGGTGCCATTCTTAGCCCGATTTGAGCGAAAAGCGTGGCAACACGAAATCCCTTTAATGTAAAAATCACAGCTAATTTGTATGTCTACTTTCAGATCAGATTTAAACAAGACTAGAACTGTGTCCAAAGGACACGGATGCCCCCACTGACAACTTATATATGGTATATAGTGAAAAAATCAACAAAGGGCCATAATTCTATTAAATTTGGTCGCAGCAAAAATTCCTTCCTTTACTACCATCTACACATTAAGGTTGTTCATCCCTGAAAGTTTAAGCAAAATCTGCCATCAGGTTTAAGAGGAGTCGCATTCACAAAATTTCTACATAGTATATAGTGAAAAAATCAACAAAGGGCCATAATTCTGTTAAATTTGGTCGCAGCAAAAATTCCTTCCTTTACTACCATCTACACATTAAGGTTGTTCATCCCTGGAAGTTTAAGCAAAATCTGCCATTCGGTTTAAGAGGAGTTGCATTCACAAAATTTCTACATAGTATATAGTGAAAAAATCAACAAAGGGCCATAATTCTGTTAAATTTGGTCACAGCGAAAATTCCTTCCTTTACTACCATCTACACATTAAGGTTGATCATCCCTGAAAGTTTAAGCAAAATCTGCCATCCGGTTTAAGAGGAGTTGCGTTCACAAAATTTCTATGTGGTATATAGTGAAAAAATCAACAAAGGGCCATAATTCTATTAAATTTGGTCGCAGCAAAAATTCCTTCCTTTACTACCATCTACACATTAAGGTTGTTCATCCCTGGAAGTTTAAGCAAAATCTGCCATCCGGTTTAAGAGGAGTTGCGTTCACAAAATTTCTATATGGTATATGGTGAAAAAAATCAACAAAGGGCCATAATTCGGTTAAATTTGGTCGCAGCGAAAATTCCTTCCTTTACTACCATCTACACATTAAGGTTGATCATCCCTGAAAGTTTAAGCAAAATCTGCCATCCGGTTTAAGAGGAGTTGCGTTCACAAGATTTTGGGACGTACGGACGGACGGACGGATGGACAGACGTACGGACGGACGGACAAGGACAAGTGCAACGCTATATGCTCCCACTATGTGGGGGCATAAAAATCACACAAAGAAAACGAATTTGGTGGTATTCCTTGTGAATCACTAACCTTGACATGTGACCTTGTCTTCCTTAAGGAAATATCCGATTTGACAATTGCACGTGTAACTGCCGTTAGTATTGATGCAATTGTGGGAACAAGGCGTTTCACTGCATTCATTTATGTCTGAAAGAAGTGTATAATATGTTTAAATGCTATATGTAATGTGAAAAAGAAGCTAAACTAAAATAAAAAAAAGTAAATCCAAAAATGATAAATTGTTTGATAAATTTCATACTATGACTCTTTTACAAAAATACTGTTATGCGTATCAAAAACCTGTATTTTGTTTGTATTTTTACTATAACTTACCAACACAGATGTCATTCTTTTTTACATATCCTTTATTACAACGACATTCTATCTCACCGCCCTGCATCATGCATAATGCGTTATCCCCACATGTCAATGACTTATCTTCTGTACACACATGCACGGCTGAAAATTAAGTCTCTATATGTAATTTTGAAGATAAATGTCTGTGTAAACATATGACATTCATACTAAAAATCCGCTTGAGTAATAATATTGAAAATAATAAAAATAATAATAATAACAAGTATTAAAATAAGCTAATAATGATAACAATAATAAACAATAATAAATAATACAAACTTGAATAAAGTTAAAATTCCAGTTCGTCATGTCCGGAATTTTTTTTTTCTTTCAAATATTGTCAAGCGTGTCTAATAACAACAATTCTTTGTAGGCCTAAACGCATACGAACTTACATCTCTTTTTTTAATAACTGTAGTTGAAATAATAAATGAATAGCACTTGAAAGAAGTTTCTCTTAAAAATCATTGAATTTCAATTTTATTTTTCATAGTAATACTTACGACTGCATGATTTTCTTTCTGTTAGATTAAGAGCATATCCATCGTGACAAGAGCATCTATAGCTTCCTATTGTGTTATCACATATCTGATCACAGTCATTTATTCCGCTACACTCATCGATATCTAGAATAGAAGTTTTATTCTATTTTTGCTTTTGTTTATTTCCTTTCAAAAAAGAATTGTCAGCAGACTCAAAAATATGATATGTCAATATAATTTCACCTTGTTTCGGAGTATTAAACAAAAACTAAACAAAAACTTAAAACAAAAGTTTAAAAAAAGATATACATTCATTTGTGTTGATATGTTATTATAATGAAGACAATTTATTCTGTAACTGCCAACTATCTGCTTCTGTTTTTATCGTTCCCCATCTTGTCATATTACTTTATTTGAAAGAAATTTAAAACAGTTGCTTTTTGAGTCGACATTAAAACTGATCTTACCTTGACATGATCCTTCAAACATGGTAAAACCTTGTTGACATTTACAGGTGTAGCTTCCGTTATTGTTGATACAAACTTGATCACATGTATTCATTGCAGAATCTTTACACTCATCTACATCTATAAATTAAGATTTTTTGTTCTAGTTTTTTATCTAAAGTTTTCTGTTTGATTCGATGCTAGCGGGTAAAATAGATAATATAAGAAATGAATAAATCACGATCATTTAACAGTAACCTTTTCTTCTATACGAAATGGATAAAATTAAATAAATAATAAAACATTTAAACTCATTCATTAAAATATTGTTTTTTTTTTTCTCAAATCTAAAACTCATCGACCATAAATGTGGCAACGACAAGTAAATGCATATCTATAACATATAGGAAAAATTTGTTCATGCATATCTTTTCCGTCCTTTCAAACGTAAATGTTAAATATCAGATTTTGCTTAGTAAGTCGACTCGATTGAACAGAAAATGATTATTAAAGCACTCATAAATATCATATATAAAGTGATTAAATATAATTTCTGTTGTAAAACAAAAATACATATTTATTGCAATTTTTACCGATACACTGATTAGAGATATTCATATAACCAGCATTGCAGGTACAAATCGCTCCGCCTGCAGTATTAACACATCTGGTATTAGCAGCAGAACACCGTAGAAGACCAGCTGTACATTCGTCAACGTCAATGTTACAGTTATTTCCAATCCAACCAGAATCACATACACAACCTGGAACAGAAAAACGTAAACTATTCATTTACTTAAACGTATTTCTTTTTTATGGATAACACCGCAATCCCTTACGTAGCCTTGGTTCCAGTCTGTTGATTTTTATGTACTTCTGTTTAGAATACGAAATAGCGCGTACGTTATGAATAAGCAAATTCAACGCCTGAATTTCATGCTATGACTTGAGTACAATTTCATCAGTGCCTATCGTGATGACAAACAAAGAAAGAACCAAGACCTGACTTTGCACAAGTAAAATCATGATATCATACTACGTAAACTAATGTCATACATATTTTCACATATTCTTTCGGAGACGAAAATGCACTATTGCTACAAAAATAAAAATGTATAGAATGTGTTTTTCTTAAATAAATTTTATGTAAACGACTTTTCGAGTCTTAATTGTTGTTGTGTTTCTTTTTTTTTTCAAAAAAGAAATTTCTGTCCCAATTCTCTGGAATGATAACCCCATTCCCGTGTAAGTTGTTGTATCCAATTAAACAATACATATATTATGAGAAACATGACTATTACAAAGACATTTCAATGATGACAATGACTAAACTTATTAAATCGTTTTAATTGAAGTCACAAACTCCAATACACATTTGTAGTTATTATATAGACAATATGTAGCAAACTGGTGAAAAGTAACATGGATATTTTAATATTGAAATATACCAGTTTTCTTATCACAAACTCCGTGTAAACAGCTGCATGTCTGAGAACATTCCTTACCAAAATGGAAATCATCACATACTGTAAATATATTTGAAGAGAGCAATATGTAGAATCATGATATACATAGTATATAACAAAAATATTCTACAATTTACGATAAAAGTAGATTGAATGAGTTCATATCAATTTGTTAAATGTGTTTTGCAAAACTCAAACTCCTTGAAATATCTCCACTTAATTGTACAATAATTCACTGACTTTGGTATAAAGCAGTCATGCTTATTGAATTGCAAATTGTATACAAGCTTTCATACAAGACAATATCATACAAATATTTCATAAGTATAGTGTCAGTTACAGTTGCAAGGATTTCAAATGTAAATCTAAATGTAATGCACCATAGCTAACAGAACATACATGTAACTGTATTTGATTACGATAAGAAATGATTGAAGATTACCTAAGCATGTCCTTTTGTCATTTGCAAGTTTTGTCCCTGTTGGACATTCACAAGTGAAAGACCCGTATGTGTTTCTGCAGGTTGCAACCTTATCACAAAGATTAAGATCGGCGTCGGTACATTCATTGACATCTATAAATTCAAGTATTGATAATAAGGCTTATGTGAAATATTTTCTTAAGTAACAGAATAAACGTGTAACTGTATTTGATTACGATAAGAAATGTTTGTAGATAACCTAAGCATATCCTTTTGTCATTTGCAAGTTTTGTCCCTGTTGGACATTCACAAGTGAAAGACACGTACGTGTTTCTGCAGGACGCAACCTTATCACAAAGATTAAGATCGGCGTCGGTACATTCATTGACATCTACAAATTCAAGTATTGATGGCTGAAATATTTTCTTAAGTAACTCTAATTATAATAAAGGCATTAGCATTTTTATTAAACGGTTGATAAATGTTTATAAGAATTATTATGTTGTTTTAAATACTGAAGACTTATATGAATACTCTACATAGTGAAATTTATATGGATTTATATTATTTTGAATGCACAAACTTAAAAAATACATGAATATTTCGAAATATTCTTTTGCAGCCAAGCTTGCAGTTTTTCACGGACAATGTGTTTAACAGTTCAAGTGAACACATTTCTACAAAAGTAATTTACCTGCTTTAAATATAGTAACACATTGTCGTTATTACCTGAACATGTCTCTTTATCAGATAAGATTTGAAACCCTTTTCTACACCCACAAGCATAACCTACATCAAGAGCAATGCAGTGATGGGAACAGTTCAAGTTCTGTAACTGCAAACATGGATCTGAAACTAAAAACAGATAGGGTTCTGAAGTAAAAACATAATTTATTTTTAGTAAAATGAAGACAAAAGTGACATTCAGTTTGCTACAATTAGTAAAATTGATATAAAATCAATAGGAACCATTAAACAAGTATCGCGATTTCTGGAACAAAAGGTAATGTATTTATATATACTTGAAATATGTTTTCAGTTAAATTTTAAGGTACAGTGTATGTGAAATTTGACAGAGAAAAGTATGTATGTGTCATAATGACATTTTTATTAAATAGCAGCGTTCTCAATAGTATTGCCAAACACTATTTACATTATCAGTATATAGCTAATAAAATTTCATTACATTATACTTTTATTATAAATCTGTTTTTATGTTATTTATGTCAAAGGAATATTTTATGCCGGTTGCTGAATTATAAGTAGTATTACAAACCTTTCTCACAAGAAGATCTATCATCATTTAGAATATACCCTGTATTGCAGTAACAATTGTAAAACCCAGGTTCATTGATGCAATTTTGTTCACAATCAGCCGTTCCCTGTTCACATTCGTCGATATCTAGAACGGTATGAAAAAAGTTACAGGTCTTGATATCGATTTAAATTTTCTAAGTTGAAAGTTTCACAAGGATAAACGGTGAATAACATGTATATCATTAAAATATTGTCATAATAGACACAATGTACGTCATAATCTTCAAAAGCAAAACATAACACTGAGAAACTATTCAGAAATGATAATATATGTAAACGGTACAGGACATTTAGAAGTAAATATTTACCTGCACAAGATGTTTCATTTATCTCGACATATCCCTCAAAACATCCACATGTATATCCACCGAAGGCATTGTTACATTCTTGCATGCAGTCATGAAGTATTGGACTTGCACACTCGTTTATATCTACAATGAAATGACAATGACTCCTATAAACGTTTTACTTGTTAAGTCCCTAAACTAGTTAAATCATATTTCAGTATTTCAAAATTGTCTGATTTTTGTAATTTTAACAACATGATTTGCATTTAACAATACCATCTATCACATTTATAAATATATAAACGATACTCCGAATGAGTTTGTTTTGAATAAGGATTCAATGCCATCTCATAATTTAATTAAATACCCTTTAAGAATATTTAACGCCATACGAATATTGATAAAACATCATTTGTATTTCTATTGTCTTGATTGATGATCTAAATAACTAACTATACCTTCACATGTTCCATTTATTTCCTGAAATCCATTCATGCACTGACAAAGATATGATCCTAAATTATTGGTGCATTCCTTCATCGGGTCTTTGCAAATATTAGCGACATCACATTCGTTGATGTCTTCATCACAAGTATCGCCTTCCCATCCAGGATCACACAAACATCCTTTTACAGGGTCACATATTTGCGCACCTCTACCAGTGCAAACACATTCCTTTTCACAGTTTTCACCCCATCGTGTAGCAGCACATGCTAGAATGTCAAAAACATGTCGTGTATTCATAAACATAAATTAACAGTGTCATTACGTGTACAGTGTAATCTATTATGCTCATTTCAAGGCGATATAATATACATGAAAATAAGTATGGAATTGAAAAGAAAACTTAATAAATGATTTGTAAATCATTTAGAGGAATGGAATCAAGAAAGAAATAAGTAATCAATTTTCACAATAATCACCTTAAATTTTAGGTATATCAAATATCTATTCGTACCTTCACAGTTGGTTAATCCGTTCAAATAATAACCGGTAAAGCAAGAACAGGTGAAGTTTCCATGATTATTCGTGCATAATTGGGGACAAACATTCTGTGCACATTCATCTATATCTATATAAACATTACACATAAAATAATAAAACAAATGATTTTAGATTTCATTTATAAAAGTGTACGTTTTCAACATACCGGTAAAATAAGTATTCAATAATTTTCTGTTCTTATAATATAACATTTTGTCGAATATAGATATGTCTGACTGATTATTTTTTCTATTAAAGTACTTCGTTTATTCTAAAAAAAAAATTTGAGTTCTTTTAAAAAAATGTGATTTCAGCAATACCATTGCAAGCGACACCATTAGCATCCAACTCCAACCCTCTGTCACAGAAACATTTTGCAATTCCATTAGCTTCAAGAGTGCATCCGCCAGTATTTGCGCATTTACTTTCACTTGAATTATTACAAACGCCTGTTTCTTAAAATTCAAAATGTTATAGGCATTAAAATATGATATAAATAACACATGGAAACACGAACCATATTTGCATATTGTCAAACAGATTTCCTGCTTTGTAACATTTATAAAGATATGTTCCAGTTGTTGATATAAAAAAGATTAAAGCATTTTAACAAGTGAACTTATCTCCATTTAACATAAATGAAAGTTTTACATTTCCTTGAGATTTTAATCATTAAACCTTTGTCAGTTTTGGTAACATATACATGTATTAGTGACTTCTATTAAAATTTTGTACTTTACATATTGACATTACAGTTTGAGCGAGTCGCTTTAATTGAAAGCTATAAATGATATCAATAAGTGAGAGGTTGCTTCACGTACATTTTAAAATAACACGCCACCATGCAACTGAATTTGTAAATACGTATGAGGTGTTTGTATTGAAGATGTCAAGATCAACATAAATACCTCTATCAGCAGTACAAGTCGAACCGTCATCTTGAAGTTTATATCCATCATGGCATTGGCAGGAGAACCCACCTGGATTGTTTACACATAAGTGTGAACAATTATCCAAGGCTTCTTCGCATTCATTTACATCTGAAATACATTTAAATGAAAATATGAAACATAAGTTATAAAAATATAAAAAGAAGAATGAAAAAGTCAATTTATAGTGCAAACATCATTTTTTTATTGGACCTTAATGTTAACTTGTAACAAACTGCTTAAATCAAAAATTAGTGATGTAAAATCTTGACTATTCAAAGTTCCCATGAAATGCTCAAAATACAAAGTGAATAACAAAGAGTTACATTTAAAAACGGTATATACCAAATTCAAAATATTTCAATTGATGATATTGGATTTCCTTAGTCAGTTGAAAGGTTCAAATAATAGAACTGAGTCGAGTAGAGTCAAGCATAATTTTCATTATAATGTACGGTACAGTACACTTGTACACTAATCATTTGATGTACTTTTCCCTCCCTGTGTCTAAATTTCTTTGTCCTGGATTACTTTTATTTCTAAATTAAATAATAACGAAGCAAAGATGTTACGAATAAAAAAGTCAAAAATGTGATCAGTCATAACAATAATAATGATACTCTTACCGTTACACTTGCTTGTGTTCCTTGTACTAACCCGATACCCTGTGTAGCATGAACATTCAAAACTACCCTCCGTGTTAACACATATGTGTTCGCATTCTGTTGTCTTCTCAGAACATTCATCAACATCTATAATAAGAATGAAGCACTTGATACAGTGTCTGCTAGGTCCATTAGAACATTTTGATTTTAGTAGTTAGTTAAGATTCATGTTTGCTTTCAAATATCTCTATTACATATCAGAGATAAATTACAATGTTTTGTGAAACAAATTGACCGTTTAAAAGAAACCAAATCTAATAATTTGTTTGAGACGGCGATGCCTTTTTGTTATGTTCCATCTTTTAATCTTTTACAAACATACCTTTGAATAAATGTACTAATACTTTGAATACTTTTTCATACATGCATCAGGATTCAATGTGCATAATCTGCTATCGTTACTTAAAGCACATTATACATAAGATAATGATATACAATGGAAATTAAATTATTCGTTTAAGATTATTTTTAATAGTAATCAGCATAATTAATCTGATAATGTGTTTATAAAATCATAAGAATAATGTTATCAACATAGAATTTTGTTTTGTTTTTTGTTATTCACCTATACACTCGTCGATATCAGAATCTTCCATGTCTTTGACGTATCCCTCAGGGCAGTCAGCACAAGTATATGACTTGCCTTTGCTAAGCTGCTCACTGGCACTAAGAGTTATACATTCTCTTTCTAATGAACAAGGATTCGTTGAACACCAATCTATTTCATTTTCACAGTCAGGACCTTTAAAAAGAGATTTTAAATCTAAGTAAATCACTATCCAGTTATATTTTCATCCATGACATTACTAAAAATATATTTAAAATCCAGGACATTCATTGCATTGTATTCTACAAACATGTTGAAAGAATACAAAGATTCCCTTATTTAGAAGAAAATGTTTTAAAGAAAGTGATGTTGACGAACAATTTCTAGCACGTTATTGTACAAAAAGATCGGTAAACGTTCTTAAAAAACTTACTTTCACTTTTTATAAATCATTAAAAAAGAAATAAGCAGATAAACATAACATAATCTGAAATTTTGCAATCATGTTATCATTACCATCATATGGAGATTCGCAGATACATTCGGAATATTTAAAGTACTCTGTTTGTTGCTGGTCATCTCTCGTAACATTAGAACAAACACCATGTCCACTACATCCAGTACACAGTAGAACATTTATTACCATAACGGTCGAAGAACGATTATTACTATTATTCACAGCAAGTCTAAAAATTAAAATTAAAATACTTTTAAAAAGCATACTTACTTAATAAAGCAATATTTATTATTTTTCAATTTTTAATTAAAAAAACATTCCATACTGCAATAAGCTTATAACTAAAGCTTTATTATGCAATAAACATACAGTACAATAAGTAAATAAAAATATTCAATTTATAATTATAAGTAATTATGTGCTTTACATTCATTAAATACATTAAAAATAATAATGAAAGTAGATATAAAATCGAACATTTATAAAAATAGACATACTGAATATTAACTGGGTGGGTGTTAGACTGCATGTATTCCACTGTCGACAATGTTTTGTTAATCTGAGCATTGGCGTTATTAGCTATAAAATAAATATCATGTCCATCTTCAAAACTTAATTGGCATGTAACTTTCTTTCCCAAAGTTGCATTGACGAGTTCACATACAGTAAGTGTTGGTTGAATTTCATCTAAAAATACATAAAAGATTCAGCATAATATTACAAAGATTGTTTTGATATTAAGTACGAAATAAAAAGCATACGGTATAAAAATTTGGAAAAAATGTCACAAACGAAATGTCTGTAAACCAAACAATACGTTTTTTTAAATACAGTATAAAATAAACAAATATATTTAATCAGATGACCCTTACTAATTTCATGTCTGTCCTGATCCGCTTCAGTCTTCAAAATTCTAGTAGCATTTGCAACTTCTTTATTTTCTGTGAATACGAGGTCAAAAACACATTCAATATTCTCGGCGCCATTACAGTCTTGCTCAGCTTGTGCTCGTTTATCAACATCAACCTCATCCAGAAATCTTGGAGTGAAAGAATTATTTTGATAATCTTCATGCGATTTGCCATCTTCATATACAAACACAGACTTTTTTCCATCAATCTCCCCTATTGTGTAAAACATAACATATAAATTTGTGATTTTTTTATCTTATATGGCGCATATTTATATGTATGTTATGGATAAAATTCATAGCTACCTTGTAAAATACATTGAGAATTTTATGAAAAACTACAGCAATGTCTTCCGTGTAGCTAAAACATAAAAGACTAAACATGTAATATGCGGGATTTCTTCAAAGAACTTATTTATCAACTTGACATTTCACAATGTTAACTGTCGCACTTCCATATGTGAAAAATATATGATTATTACAAACTGTGATGATATATACATTTCAGACATTGAAATCGATGACATATGGTTCATCAAAAAGTTGTCAATAAATATGTCTTTGACACCTGGTGAAACAGTGCGGCCAGTATACTGTTGATAACCATCCGTTCAGTCAAAAGCCGAGAAGTTCAATTCTTGTATTTTGATATTGAAACCCATACAATTAGAATGGATTGTTTCGAATTCAAAGCAGGGCAAGTCCATTATATAAATTCAGCAATGTAAGTGTACAAACCGCAAACTAAGCAATATATTAAACAATCTAATGTGTTATTAAATTTAGACCATTTTCTTACATGTCTTCCCGTAATCAAATATATGTCGCTCTGAGGAATTTGCGTTTATAACAGTGCCATTAGGCATCATCAAATCGTTGTATGGATTCCCATCAAAGTTACCAAGGAGTCCGCTTGTGACGTTATTCAGTGCATTTGGTATAATGGTACTTATAGACAACATTTGTACACTCACAGATATGTTCAGCGATATGCCTAAAAGAAATACAACAGTTTTGGTGATGGTTATTTAATCATAGATGTCGCTAGGTTGCAACAAAGTGTATCAAGATCAAATATAATTTTATTTCAAACGCAAAAAAGGAGAAGCAATGCCAATAATTTTTCAAAAGCAGGAAATACTGAAACTGATTAGGTGTAGAACTAAAATTCCTATACATAATCATTTATATTTCCAATTTTGTAAGAAAGGAATATATGTCAAAAGAAGAAAACATAGAGCATTTTGCTTCACTAAGTGAATAAGAAATTATGTACATGGAAAAATCATTTAAGAATCAATATTCAACTATAATACTGAAATAATACGTAAAACAAATACCTGAGGATGGAAAGAGAACGCTTAATGCATTATCCCTTCGTGCTAGAATTAGATTGGCTTCGGGAGTTGAATATGTAAAGGGATCATCCAAATCTTTATTTGAGCCAGCATTGTATTGATTTGTTATGTCCACTTGGTTAGCACTAATTATCAAACCTATAATTCACAAATAAATTTTGCTTTAAACATGACCCGAGCTGTAATACTAAAAAACATTTTGATTATTCTTTACTCAATCCTTACCAACAGAGCAATCATCATTTTATGCCATTTGACTTTAAATATTGGTCGAAATTGTTAAAGCAAATTATTACAGTGTAACTTCTGAATACGGAACACCTATGGGACTAGCCAAAACATTTGGAATTTGGAAGTTTCCGGAATTCAGAAGTTTGGGATTATCTGAACAAGTAGAAACATTAAACATCAATTCTTTCAGTGAGACTTGATCAAAGATATATGAAGTTGATTTTATTCATAAAATTGAAGAATTATTGGACTTTTAACAAGTTTACAACTACATTTAAATTGTATGTTAAAATTCATTTTCACCTTCAACTGAATTTCTTTAGACAAAATCATAATGTATAATTATTTAGGAGCAATATTTCACGTTGTACCAGCTTATTATAAACCTGTAATTTATTGTTTTTCATCACATTATACTTCTCATTGTTTTTTTAATTTTCACACTTTAATCAAGTGTTTTACATGCTTGACAGGTTCAGATTCTAATAGGTGTCAAGATAAATGATTTTTGCTAATTGGAAAATACTGACATGTTAAAGGATTTATTATCTCAATTTTTAATATTCATTCACACCTTTTTCAATTTCCGGATTGTGGAAGAAAATTTGAATTCATATAACCCAAATTTTACCAGAAATGTGTTCGGAATTCAGAATTTCCGGAATTCAGAGCTATGTAATATAGGAAACAGAAGGAGAAATTTCGCGACCCTGAAAAATGTTCGATTTTCAGAAGTGTCCGGATTTCAGAAGTTCCGAATTCGGAAGTTACACTATAATAGCAATGTAGCTTATTCTTTTATCGTTATTAGTTTACTGATTGTTATTTTTTGCGCTAACAAATAAAGTATTGATTGACAAAACTTGAATGGTGTTGGAAGAATAAGTTAATATGTTACCGTTTTTAATAACGTTATTATTAACATACCCCTATATCCGTATGTGTCTTCCTACAATCAAAGTCGGCTTTTCATAACTTTTATGATAACGTAGCTATCATGAAACACAAATAAGATAGATAGAACATTAGAAAGCTCAAAACCATCATTTAAACATCCGATTTATACAATATATGCCGACTGGAATGCATGATTACCGTTCCGTGCTTTGTTTAGCTCCACATGTACAGATGCATTGGTATTGTCCCTTGCAGCAAACGCCGTAAATGCAGTAGCATCTGTTAGGTTT